TTTGTAACATAACAATGAGTAAGGTCTTTTAGCTGCTTTTTGTAACATAACAATGAGTAAGGTCTTTTACCTTCTTTTTGTAACATAACAATGAGTAAGGTCTTTTACCTTCTTTTTGTAACATAACAATGAGTAAGGTCTGTTACCTTCTTTTTGTAACATAACAATTAGTAAGGTCTTTTACCTTCTTTTTGTAACATAACAATGAGTAAGGTCTTTTACCTTCTTTTTGTAACATAACAATGAGTAAGGTCTTTTACCTTCTTTTTGTAACATAACAATGAGTAAGGTCTTTACCTTCTTTTTGTAACATAACAATTAGTAAGGTCTTTTACCTGCTTTTTGTAACATAACAATGAGTAAGGTCTTTTACCTTCTTTTTGTATCATAACAATGAGTAAGGTCTTTTACCTGCTTTTTGTAACATAACAATGAGTAAGGTCTTTTACCTTCTTTTTGTAACATAACAATTAGTAAGGTATTTTACCTGCTTTTTGTAACATAACAATGAGTAAGGTCTTTTACCTTCTTTTTGTAACATAACAATGAGTAAGGTCTGTTACCTTCTTTTTGTAACATAACAATTAGTAAGGTCTTTTACCTGCTTTTTGTAACATAACAATGAGTAAGGTCTTTTACCTTCTTTTTGTAACATAACAATTAGTAAGGTCTTTTACCTGCTTTTTGTAACATAACAATGAGTAAGGTCTTTTACCTGCTTTTTGTAACATAACAATGAGTAAGGTCTTTTACCTGCTTTTTGTAACATAACAATGAGTAAGGTCTTTTACCTTCTTTTTGTAACATAACAATTAGTAAGGTCTTTTACCTTCTTTTTGTAACATAACAATGAGTGAGGTCTTTTACCTGCTTTTTGTAACATAACAATTAGTAAGGTCTTTTACCTGCTTTTTGTAACATAACAATGAGTAAGGTCTTTTACCTTCTTTTTGTAACATAACAATTAGTAAGGTCTTTTACCTGCTTTTTGTAACATAACAATGAGTAAGGTCTTTTACCTTCTTTTTGTATCATAACAATGAGTAAGGTCTTTTACCTTCTTTTTGTAAAGTGTCTCGAGATAACACTTGTTATGAGTTGACGCTATACAAATAAAAATTGAGTGATTGATTACCTGGTGCCAAAAGAGAACCAGAGCAGGGGACGCCCATGAAGTTGATCCTTTCCTCCTTAACGGTGCCCTCCGACTGTGAAGAGGACAGAAAAAAATCAACCCTGAACATAAAAACCTCAGACTGTTCTCAAAAGTCTCACAACATTAACACAAATGTTTTGTAGTTAGGAGGAAGATGCTGTTTTCTAAAATGAAACAGTCATCAGCTCGCTCTTGTCAAAGCCACTAGACTCCTCACACAGCTGACCCTGTGTCCACCTAGCGTTTATTTTCGTTTATTTTAATTTAGTTGTTTTCGATGAGGTTGCAGCAGAAAGCGGCCGCCTGGAGAAAAAGCGCAGCGCCCAGTTCTGCTTTTTTTTGTGTGGCCGCTCCGAGAGCTCAAGCTGAAAATCTTTCAACTTTTCAGGAAGGCGCTGTTGACGTCACCGCGCAGTAAAAAGTAAAAGAGCAGTGTCGATCATACAGCGGCTGCTGTCAACAGACTGTTGTCATGGAGACAGGACGGCGCTTTTTCTGCCCGGAAAAAAACTCTTAATATGTTTGTGCTATTGGTCGATTCTTATGATGTAAATTATTATGGTTTGGTCAATAAAACTAAAAACTAACCACCTGTCTGTACCGAGTGAACCCACTCATCTGGATCTGGAACTGAAAACTGAATGTAAATCAACTCAGACACTGTGGAACAACCTTCCTGAGGGTCTGAGAGGAGAATATTGAGATTTTTAAACGCAGTCTTAAAACTCATTTATTCAGTCTGGCTTTTATATAGTGCTTTATATAACTTCAAATCTTAACATTACTGTTTTGTCTTTTTTATCCAACTACAATTTTAAATATTCTATGTATTTATTTTAATATCTTATTGCTTTTGTGTTGTATTTAATTTTTTTAATTCTTATTGGTGTGCATTAGTATCTCAGTGATTTTTTTAAACAATTTTTTCGTCAATACCTTTTCTGCCCTCTTGTAAAGCACTTTGAACTGCAATTTAATTTGTCTGAAAGGTGCTGTGTAAATAAAGTTTGATTGATTAATTGAACTCAGAGCTCAGGGTTAGACTGAGAGTTTGGTGAACCTTTAAGAGGAGAGATGTAACTGTTGTTTCTGTTTCTTTAGGATCTGTAAAGTTGTCAGACAATCTCAGAGTTACAAACACCAGGCTTCCCGTTTCACTCGCTCTAAAATATAATAAAATGGATGACTTACCGTCTTGCGCACCGTCTTGGCCTGTAGGTCAACACATTTGTCCAGCAGCATCACTCCTTCTTTAATCTCCTTGCACGGTGTCATGCAGCCACTCTGCGACCCTTCGGTTCTGTAGTAGGCGAAGGGCTGCAAGAAGAAAAAAGAACAGCACAAAGGCAATCTGATAATGAGCAGATTAAAAAGTGATTTTCTACAAGTTGATGTAGAGGCTGATTCCCTCAGCTGTGTTCCCCTAAACGTACCGATTCTATTCTGTCCCCAATATCGTTATCAGCCTCAAAAACCCCAGATCAGTTTGTAAAAACATCTCAGCTACATGTGTGCGTGTTGAGGTGAGATTTTTTACCGTGTCGTTTTCGCTCCATGTGAGGTCCCAGTTTGGGTTGAAGCTAACGACGTGTTGGTCACAGCATTTATATGTGGAGTTGCTACGCGTCACCTCCGAGCTGCTCCTCACGCTGGTAACAATTACTGGGTGTGCAGAAGAAGAAGAAGAAGAAGAATCAGGCATGTGAATGTCAAAGCCGTGTTTTTTCATTTTTCCCTCCAAAACCTGAAAGCTTCCAGATCGGGTGCTCAGAGGTCACACTTTGCTGAACGTATCTCACATATACTGAATTTACCTGCCACTAAATGTATCAAAAAATATAACAGGAGGATCGTCAGATTCACCTTAAACCTGTTCACCTGGGACGTGATCACTCTGTCGACAGCATCAGAAACATTTATTCTATTTGACGCCATGACACGGGCAGACACGAGGGAGTTCTCAATCAAAACAATCATATAAGATGACGTCGAGGCCGGCGGGGAATCATGGGAGTGATTCTGCTACTGCACCCTCCACGGTTGGGGCGGCACACGATCCGGGGATCATTCAAAGTGCTTTCTCTGTTTCATCTCACCTGTCTGAGTTTATCATGCAGGTGTCTGTATCGTAATCAGAAATGATAAAAAGTGGATGGGTGCATCTGTCGTTGTTTTGCTGTTGTGTTAATGTGTTGATCTTTAGTGTTTGAACAGGCCTGTTAGTATGCGGGGGAGGGGGGGGGGGGGTTGCGAGCTAAACAAAGGGGTGTAGTTTAGGAATTAATCCATCAAAACTCCGACACGTTTTTTTGTGTAACTTAGACAAGGTGCAGGAGTTTAAATGACATTTTTATTGGGTGCACAGGGATTCTATTTTTGTTGCAGAGCAGGAATGGATATATTTAGATTTTTACTAACAGGGACAAACATGGTGCATATGGTACATTATATTCACTCAAATGGTACTTTAAAGCTTTAAAACATTACTTACATCCATGCATTAATTAGTTCTTAACTGCTGTGTTTTTTTTAATGAATTAAGACAGTTTAATCAATAAATGATTCTGAAGAAAACAGAAAATTAGACCCCCTGAATGTGACCCCAATGTGTAAGTATTACAAAGATCCCAAAAGGTTGACAGTCACCTCATAGTAACCTCAAACTTTCCTGACACGTGCTGGGGATTCCCCTGAACTTTATGTAAACAGAAACTGACCTTCTTGGAACAACAGGGGAATCCCATTGGCTGCTTTCACTTTCGTAGGGGGTTTACAGACTATATCTACACTATAGAATAACAGATTCACGTATTTTTGCATTGTTTATGTGCTAGCATTAGCTCAGGGGATTCCTATCACAAAATGCTTCTTTATTGAACATGTATTAAAAAGTTAGCAGAAAGTCAGTGCAGGTCCGGCGCAGCTAATAGGACGACACGACAACACAGCAACAAAGAGAAGAAAAATCAACCAATCAGAGGGTCACAAAGCAGAAACAAGTGTAACTATGATGTAACAACAATATGTGTGAAATATATTAAAGTATAATAACAACAGTAAACAAAGAGTTACATGAGATGTGATCGGTTAGAAAGGAGCCGCAGAACCTCATTCGAAAAACTGCGATTTTAATGTTTTTTCTGTTTTCTGACAAATTTCTTCAGCAAATAAATAAAGTTTTAGATATTCAAGTAAATCTAGAGGTGGCGACAATCGATTTGGCTGGTATTAACTTGACTTTTATGGGACAGTCACTTAACAATACAGTATTTAGGGTATGAGAGCAGGCTAACTAGCTTAATGCCGGTGTCTTTAAAAGTTTACAGGACTCTTCCTGTCGACGTCACTGTCGCGCCGATTTGTCCAGAAGTCGTTAAACTTCACTCCTATGAATGAACGTGTGCTTTTTTTGAGGCATTAATATGCAGCCAGAAGAAGTTTAATTTTGTTGGCGCAGCATCGCTAACGGGATTAATACGTAATGACGTAATGACGTTAGCCCGTTAGCCCGTTAGCACGTTAGCTTTGACATGTTGGTAAAATAAAGTCACAAATCAAAAGCTGCATTCTCATCAGGGACTCTCAACATAACGCCAACGACGTCTTACTCACTGTGCACAACATATAAGTAGATAAGAAGAAGAGATGATTTCATGATGATCTTGTGGTGCAGCCGCAGGACACGCTGGTGGTGGAAGATAAAAAAAGATGGCAGAACGCATTAAGCCCCGCCCCCCACCACGCCCCCGCCCCGCCCCCATCACGCCCCCGCCACGCCCCGCCCCGCCCCCATCACGCCCCCGCCCCCTTCAAGGAAACCGTTCCTGTTTAAAATAAACACACTGCTTACTTCTGCTTTCGACATCGTGGTGTATAAAAGCGACCTGCTTCCCAGAATCAGGACCAACAACATCATGATGACTTCAGAGTTTATCAACGTGGCTCTGCTGCTCTCTCTGTGTAAGTATAAAAAACTAATCTCACTTCATTTGAACAAATATGATCTGTGTGATATCTCCTCTGACGTTAGGCTGTCTCTACATGCACAGTGATCAAACCTAACGACAGGTGTGTTTCTCAGGTGGGTGTCCTACTCTCAGCATGACTGTCAAACACGACGTGGTGGAGGTGAAGTCTGTGGTGGGACAGGACTCCATCCTGCCCTGTCCCGCTGTTTTTAAACCAGGGGTGGAGTACTTATCACTCACGTGGTACAAGGTAAAACACACCTTTATTTCATGTATTTGATTTATACACACAGACTGACACTTTTGGATTTCTACTTCAGTTTGTGGATTTAAAACAAATAATTATATATATTATAATTTCCTGGCGCTTCAGCGAAAGCACACACGGCCTCATCTGATTGGCTGGTTTATATTTAAACGTTTACTTTCATTTTCTGTAAGGAACTCTGTCTAAGCTTAAGTAGGACAAAGCTGTACTTTTCTTTTACTGTATGCAGTTTAAACAGTTACCAGCCTCTTCTATATATATTACAAATGTTTAGACAACAGAATCCACGTTTCATGACCATGAAAATACCATTTTATCTCTGTCAATTAAAGGTCAGGACATTTTATTTTTTTTGTACTTTTCTAACCAAAAGTCAGTCATTAAGGCAGTTTCTATGAGTAACACTGAACTATTATAGATTTAAAGCAAATGTTCTCTTGAGACACTTTACAAAAGAGCAGCTTAAAAGACCTTACTCTTTGTTATATTATTAGTTTGTTCACACCTGCAGAAAACTCCTGAAAAACTCCTGATATCTGCAGAAGTGGTGGGTGGGGGGGGGGTGTTTATCATGGTGCATAGACTTCAGCACGTTTAACAAATACATTAGGAAAGTTACTTCTGATGAATTTGTGCATCTTAAACTGTGTTCAGGAGTTTGCCTTTGGACTGGATGTTGTTTTTCACACCGTTCTAAAAGGATTGAATGTGCACTTTGTTTTTCAAAGCGTCAGCACTTTTGGAAAGTGTTGATCATTAGAATTAAAGAGGCAGTGTTGTTTTTTTTAAGTGTGTGTTATAAAGAAGCACTGAGGGAGGAACTTATGCAGGTGTTTAGCAGTATCACATTTAAAATGATTAAACTACAAATAAAACCACCGTTAGTGATAGTCAGTGAATGAAACAGTAGTTTACTGATGGTTACGCAGGTCCATAACGTATGTGTTCTGATGATGTCACAGGCGATAGATCCTCCCTCGTCCCGTCTCAGCGGACTCCTGACCCGAGACCTCCCGAACGGCACGACGAGCTACTACCTGGGCATGGAGCGAGAGATGGAGCTGCTGGAAGACTCCCCGGACGTCTTCATGCCCAACGTGACCTGCGCCGACCGCGGCGTGTACACATGTTACCTGGCGGCACCCGTGGGAGAGCAGAACAGGGAGAGGCAGGTCGTCCTCAGTGTGGCAGGTAATACTCACCTGAAGTTTCTAATTTCTCTTAAGAGGATTCATTTATTTATTTTTTGTGGTAAAGTCGCTTCTCTTGTTTGAATAAGAGTCAGACAACTCTCGTATCACAGTTTGTGTTTGGCGTCCTGACTCCGACCTCGTCGCTTCTCACAGTTTTATTTTACATGAAGACATTTCAGTTGAGTTCAGTGGGAGGTGAAACATCGCCTCAGGTGTCATGATTTGAATCAGAGGAAGTCCAGACTCAGTCAAGTTTCACACCATGGTTTCAGAGTGTAGGTTTCATAGTGAGAAGACCTTTCAAGCATGTCTGCTTTTAAAAACGTGGGAAACCCCCCCCCCCCATAAAATCTCACTTCAGAAGAATTAGAAGTAACTCGTAGCCTCTTATTGGTTAACAAGAGCTGTGTCTGAAAGGAAACTACTCTCTGTGAAGACAGGATGTTGTAAAGGTGTGTGATCATTATCCTACCCTGTATGGTGCTCTCGTTGTATCCCTTAGCAACACCTGCAGGAGCACCAGAGGAGCTTTGTGACCCTGTATAAACCAGCTCTCTCTCGCTCCATGAAATACTCGTTTTCTGTTATTTTTTGATGTCACTTAAATGTCAGCAGTAAGGCGGGAAAAGTCACTAAAACATAAAAAGATTCATTCTCAGCCTTCACAACAGGATATTAATAATGCTTTAAAAATGCAGCTTTGCAGGACAAAGGAACTTTATCCATCCAAACATTAGCAGCCTCTCCAGAAACAGTCGATGAGAAAGCGTCCTTGTGTGACTTGATTTGACTAACTGAAGGAGTTTCTCATGACTCAAAGGAGTGAAGAGAAATAATGGATCAGCGGTCATGATAAATCGTCTGCTGAACACGATCTGTGTGTGTGTGTGTGTGTGTGTGTGTGTGTGTGTGTGTGTGTGTGTGTGTGTGTGTGTGATCCAGTTTATTCCGGCTCAAACTTCAGTTTCTTTTCTCCTCCAGATTGTTCTGATGAGTCGTCGGAAACCCTGATAAAAGACGCTTACATGGTGGTTGCCGCCACGCTGCTGCTGATCTTTGCACTCATTATTTTCAAGATAAGCTATGTAAGTGATTTTAAATGTGCTTACACACACACACACACACACACACACACACACACACACACACACACACACTGCAGCACTAACACAGTTTCTCTTTTCTGTCTCCGTCGCAGGTTTGTTTGAAGAACATCCTCCGAGAACGAAACGATACGACGATAACAACGAAGGAAACGTTATTGGACGCTAAGCTCAAACCGCTCGGAAAGAAGGACCTCATGTCGATTCAGACTTTGGGTCCCAAACCGTCGAAAACCACCACGAAGAAACACGCCTGTGTTTGAAGAGAAAGTCTGCGCTGGAGTTTCTTCTTCAGCAGAAAGAATCACAAAAACCTCAAAAGGGTTCTCAAAAATTGAGTGTCTTTGACTTCATTTAGAGAACTAATGAAACATGTTTGAGCCTCTGAGTGAAACATAAACAAGCCGAAGGAGGCTTCGAGGTCTGAGTGTGAACGCAGAGCTGAAAACAACACACTCAGGGGTAGTTTTGCGTCTCTTTACCTTTGAGCTTTCACACTGAATCTACGTCGGTATGACATCACTGCAGACGTTTAACAGCAGTGCAGTTTCTCTCCTCTTACTCGTCTGTGTCTACCTCTAAATAACTCCGCCCCCATCATTACGCCTCCATCTTTGCCTTTTCTCGGTCCTCTTGACTCCCCAGGCTGACTTGGTCATTTTTTTCCTCCATCCTGGAGCGCTGCACTTGGAAAATGTTCACTTCAGCACTGGACAGCGCCACCCATGTCCGCCTTTAATGACTCTTTTTCGGCCATCCTTCTTCACCTCTTCCCCCTCTTCATCCCCCATCCTTACACCTCCTCATTACGGCAATGTGAAAGGGGCTATTTGAAGAAAGAGGAGGGAGGAGTTTATGGAGAAAAGGTTCTCTGTTGATTTGTTTTATTCTTTGAGATTTTTATTTGTTGTAAAGGAGGATTTTAAACAGGATTATGTAAAGTTAGACACAGTTCTAATTTAAGTGCACACTTTGTAGACATGTTACATCTGTTGTTTTGAAGTGTATGTTAGTTATTTATGGATTTAGAGACTTTTTTTACTTAGTGATACTGCACCTTTAATTTCAGAGTTAAATGATTATCATGCATCTCCTTTTTGTGGTCTTACTGAGAATATAGACACATTATATAAATCACATGACAAATATGTTCCAAGGCTTGACCCAGAATTTATTAACAAAAAGAAAATGTTGGTAGCGAAACAAATGAGTAACATATATTAAATAACAGTAAACACACATTCTTATTTTTGATATCTTTTCGCCACAATTTCACAGTTTGGGATCAATAAAGTCATTCTATTCTATTCTAAACCCAAAATATGGAAGCCTACTATACTGACTTGTCTCAAATGTTTCTGAACATGAAACCAGACGGAAAGTCTGAATCATTAGCAGAAGTGTGACTTCTTCTAAGTACGCCTCCCATGTTAAATATAGAGGTGGGAAACTTTGCATTTTACTGTATTTTTACACTTAGGGTAGATATTAAAGACGGGACGGGCCTGTCTTTAATATCTGAGTTTGTTAAAGTCTCTGTGAGTTATTCTTCATAAGGATGTACAGAGAAAGAAGTACAGATTAATACATGTTTAAACAGTTACATTAAAAACCTGTATCTCAATCAGGAGAGACAAGATGATAAAGAACTTTATTTTTTATTTACAATAACCTCTGGAAGTTACAATCCAGGATTTATACCTTTGACCTCTCCCTAAAGCCGTACTGAGTTGGAAAAAGGACTTGCAGGAGTGTGCAGCTCCCTCTACTTTGAACGAGTTGTAAGAGACTCTGAATCTTCAGGAGCCGGTGTCCTCTGAGATTTTATCGGTCTTCTTATTTTGACTCTTATTGACCTTTTTTTTGGCCTTGTTTAGGACACAGTTTGATGCTTCTTGTATTTTGTGATCATTTTATTCTTGTGTTTTATTTCTAAAACAAAGTTGACATGTCTTTATCTGGCAGCTCTTCTAAAAGATGTTCTTAATCTCAGTGAGACTTTTCCTGGTTAAATAAAAAAATATTGGATAATGTGGAAATGTGGAAATGTGACTTTGTCTCTTGGACTCTTTGTGGTTTGTTGATGTGTATCAGACTTCAGGCCACCTCTGCATGTGTCAGCGCCCCAGTTTCCAACCACCCTAGTCCTAATAGTCTGGACACGCCCCTGAATAAAGGAAAGGATCAATTAAAAACAGTAGAAGGATTAAGAATGGATTTTAAAAAAGGTTAAAAGCAAAAGGTGAAATCACATAAAAGCATGAAGACGTGATTTAAAGGATGTTTCTGTGGATATTCAAACCCTGTGTTGTGCAGGATTTCTCTTTTTTTATCTGAAATGCCCAAACTTCAGAGGATATTGTTGCAAATAAAGTTTCTTTAATGTTTGAGGATAATGTTTGTTGTTGTTTTGTGACGGTATTATTACGCAATAAAAGAAGAGTTTGTTGTGAGCGGTAGATCTCCTGACTCTTGTTTCCTTATCTGAAATTTGAAAAGTAAACGATTCAAAGTGGAAATAAAGACTCCAACAGAGTGAAGGGAACATTTGACTGTTAGGAAATGATCTCCTTAAACTGAAAGTTGTGGGTGAAACGGTGCCGATGACACCAGACAGCTGTGATTTCCTATAGATTAACATCCGCAATATGCACAAAAAAAAGTGTGAATTAGGTCACTGTAAACTCTTTTTCTTATCTCTTCAAACTCGCCAAAAAACACCACAGGCAGGGGCGTGTCCAGAGGTGGCATGGGCCCCCCTTCAAATCTAATTGGCCACCCCAAAATCTTTAACTATTACTGCCAGAGGCGGGACTTGTGTTCATAGTTTCCCATGTGAAGATGTTTATTTACAATATTTAAAACACTTTAAATTGTGACTTTAGACCAACATATTGTTTTGAGTCCTTGAAGAATTCAGATTAAAATATGTATGCGGCTGTTATCTTGCCTCAGTTGGACACGCCCCTAACCACAGGATCATCTTTAAATGCATTCAGATCTTTGTGAACTTACACAAAGTAAAGGAAGTGGAGATTATTTTGTAATTTCTGTGAGCATACAGAGTGGAAAAATTCAGCTTTTTGCGTTCACAGTCATTTAATAAAGAGACAACTCGGCTTTCTGAGATGTGAAAGCAAAATGATCACACAAGGAAAATTACTGTAACATGGGTTTAAAACAACATGCATCTGCACACTGTCTAACTTGCAAACAAACATTTATTGACAATGTTTCAGTTCTAGCCAGTGTGCGAGAGTTCACCTTTAATTAAGTTTTTGGTGGAGACATTTCTCTCCTACAGTCCTGTGATGGATGTGTGGAGGTTTTTTTCTTTTTTACAATAAAATATAAACACAGTTAAAGAAAGTCATGTTCCTATTGTTCCATGGTTTTATTTCAACAGTTATTATTGTCACATTGCAACATTGAAAAAAGGGATTGAAGATGATTGGAGTTTCGTCCACAAGAGGGCGCTCCAGGATCGTTTAAGGATTTAACTGTCAGGTACTTTTTATTTCCTCGACTTTAACATTTATGTGAAATACACGACACAGATGGAAACAAACATCTCGTGTGGTGGACTCTTTTCTCTTTTTTAATCTTAATAATAACATGCACCTCTAAGGACAATGCAAAATATAGCAGACACAATTCTACACATCCGAACTTTGCATCCACCCTTAATGACTTTACAGACACTTCAGACACTGTGTGCTGGTCACAGGCTCATGAACATGAACCAAGTGTAGCCTACAGAACAGGAAGGACAATTAACTAATGAAGTATACACTTATAATCCTTTGTAATAACATATCTGCCCAAAGAAATAAGATGTATACCGTGTTGTAACTCTTCCACCTGGCCAGGTGCATGCGATTTGTTTTTTGGCAGGGATGCATTTCTTGGTATAACACCGGTACTGCCTTTATTAGACTTTTCAAAATGATATATTTTTTAAACAAAACATTTATATGAATTGTTAGTTTTCTGTACATACATTAAAAAGCTGTTTTTAAAAAACAAACTCAGTTTAGCAGCTCGATATTGATGATAACTTCGGCATCTGGTTGTCGTGGCCGAGTGGTTAAGGCGATGGACTAGAAATCCATTGGGATCTTCCCGCGCAGGTTCGAATCCTGCCGACAACGTGACGTTTTGTTTTTGTTCTTCACAACAAAAAACTATAATTTAACTTTTTTTAACTTTACCAAATTGAAGCTTAGTTGTCCTTTAGGGTATGCTAACAGCTAGGCTAACCATTCATTACTTATTTGATAAAGTGTATAAACGGAATTAACACATAACGGTACTTCCTTTTCAGTTTCAAAATAAAATATAATGCTGAGTCAAGCACTTGACAGTCTATGTTCTAGATTCAAGATGTGTAACCAGTAATAAAAGAGACAATACCTGTAGTGTTTTATTGAGATAGTCTGTCACATTTAAAAGTCAGTAATCTCACATTTACTCATATTTTTTAAAAAGTACCTCAAGTTGTCAAACAAATTAAGTTGTTAGAAAAGGAAAATATTTGCCTATTGATAAGAAGTATTTAGAAACAGAAAATGGTAACACTCAGGTGAGATACTAGGATATATATTCAATTCAAATCAAATAACTTCAGTTGTGTAAAAGAGCATCAATGCACACACATCTCAGCACAAAAAACAAACAAAAACACACACATAGGAGTCTGTATTAAAAGCATGATAAATAGGTCATAAATAAAAGTTATGAGAGATTAAAAGAATAGTGTTAAAAATATATAAACAAATGGATCAGCCATTCATGAGCCTGAGAGATCTGTATCTGTGGCCGGAGGGGAGAAGTTTGAAGAGATGTGTGTGTGTGTGTGTGTGTGTGTGTGTGTGTGTGTGTGTGAGTGTGTGAGTTTTGTCCTCCTGTTGTAAATGCTGATTGGTTGTTGTGATATTGAAGGTTGAATCCTCTTTTTCACCAATGTAACTTTTATTTTGAAGGCAAGGCGGCTCCTCTTCCGCTCTGTTACCTAGCAACGTCGAACGCTCGCCTGCGTGCTCTCGGCTGCCTGCTGCTGGGTAGCTAGGTTAGCTCAAAGCTATCTGATAGATCGACACGATGATCGATGAAGGGGACGACGACCTGGACGAACTGCTCGATGAAGTGGAGGAAAAGTTTTGTCGTAACGTCGCCGTCACTTCGCGGGCTCTGGTGACGTCGAGTGAGGCTGGGAAAAAAGACGAAGACGGTCGGAGAAAACAAAGGTAAACAATGTAAACAATGTAAACAATGCTAACTCTGCTAGCTGAAACACAAGCAGTGGGATGTTTTCATGTTTTCTTTATGTTTATTTTAGTTTTGTAGCCACCATGTTCTGTTTAAACGACCTCAGCTTCACTTTAATGATGAGCAGGATGTTATTAAAGTCAGCTGTTCATAACAACAACAACAACTTTCATCTTTCTAACATTGTTGTGAAACCAGATTCAAGATTCTGTTTGTTTATATTTTGTGTGATGAGTCTGAACACATTAAAACAGATGAAATGTTCTCACAGCCCCAAAGCAGTGTGACAGACTCATAAAGCTGCTGAGGATTAAAGTCAGGTCCTCAGGTGCTGCTTGTCAACAGGTAAAGCAGGCAACTGTTTGAGGCCCCCAGGACAGTAGGGGCCCCACAACGGCTGACACACTTTAAACCACAGCATATTGACAGTAGGAAACCTCCCTAATGGGGCCCCATGGGACAGCACTCACTCTCAATGCCCTGTTAAGTGTCACATTCAAGATTCAAGATTTTTATTTGTATTTGTATTTGTCACGTGCTCATCCAGATGTGCAGTGAAATGTGAAGATGCAATAAACACTCAAATTACTAATACATATATACACAGTAAAATAGAATATAATGTAAAAAATTTAAAAAAGAATTAATTGAATATACAAAATATAGAATAATGTAAAAGTGTCCAGGGTGTCAAAGTGCAATGTGCAGATTAGAATGTGTGGTGTGTGTGCATCATGTAGTCACAGTTCTGTTTATGTTTTTATCTGAGGAGAGTGGAGTTAACAGTCCGGACAGCCGGAGGAAAGAAGCTCTTCCTGAGTCTTTCTGTGTTCGCCTTGATGTGTGGAAGACGCCTGCCAGAGAGTAGCCACGTAAACAGTCCGTTACCTGGGTGGTGGGGATCACTCATGATCCTGTTTGCCCTGGCTGTGCTCCTCCTTGTTAAGTGTCACATGCATTATTGTGGGAAAATAATAATGAGCGCTGGTTGGAGGGGCCCCCAATGAATGTTTGCCTAGGGCTCCAACAGACCATAGAAGCCCCCCCCCCCCCCCCCCCCCCCCCATGAGGTCTAAAAGTAAAAGTTTCTAACTTAGATTAGAAACAAACTTTGAAGGTGTGACTAAACTTTTGTTTTCGTTAGCTGAAGGGGAAACACTTTTATTCTGATCGGAAAGGCCATGAATTTGTTCGGTGTCTTTAATTGAATCTTACTGAATCATAGTATTACAGTAGGCTGTAATTCCCATTGGCTTGTTGATTTGTAAACTTACTGATGGTATTTTAAGGGCCTTTGATTGCAGCACAGAAAAAGGTGTTTGAAGAGATATAGTTACCATGGGAACAGGTCCTTCAAATTCCTTACCTTACCCCCCATATCCCACACAAAACTCATTATGATGCACAAAGTACCAGTTCTGCCGTGGTGAAGAAATACTGAATGCTTATTTTCATTTACCCAAAGAGAAAAGAGAACTTGATTGTGAAGACATTTTAAAATATCCACTTTAGGGCCCGACCGATATGGGATTTTTTTGGGGCCGATACCAATATCGATATTAGGCAGACAAAACAGCGGATACCGATATCTGTCTTAGATTTATCTTCAATCTGTAGAGATTCATATTCACATTTATTGTGTTGGTCTCTCAAATGCAGTTATGTTATAATTCACTAGCAGACGCTTTTATCCAAAGCAACTGATGCTCTTTGACACAAATGAAGTTCCTAACGGATAAATAAAGTATTTGAATTGATATATATCCTAGTACCTCACCTGAGTGTTACTGTTTTCTGTTTCTAAATACTTCTTATCAATAGGCAAATATTTTCCTTTTCTAACAACTTAATTTGTTTGACAACTTGAGGTACTTTTTAAAAAATATGAGTAAATGTGAGATTACTGACTTTTAAATGTGACAGACTATCTCAATAAAACACTACAGGTATTGTCTCTTTTATTACTGGTTACTTCTTACACATCTTGAATCTAGAACATAGACTGTAAAGAGCTTGACTCAGCATTATATTTTATTTTAAAACTGTGAAAAGGAAGTACTGCTATGTGTGAATAGCCTAGCTTTTAGCATACCCTGAAAGGACAACTGAGCTTCAATTTGGTGAAGTTAAAAAGACAATTATAGCTTTTTTTTTGTGGAGAACAGAAACTAAACGTCACGTTGTCGGCAGAATTCGAACCTGCGCGGGAAGATCCCAATGGATTTCTAGTCCATCGCCTTAACCACTCGGCCACGACAACCAGATGCTTATTAGGTCAACAGAAGTCGAGCTGCTAAACTGAGTATGGTATTTCAAATACAACTGGAAAGTAACTGAGCATGTTTGTGCATCCTCACTCCACATGATGATGCTTGTTGTAATTAATATAGCGCCCTCTGCTGGTGACAGGCAGAAAGATAACTGCTAGTGTAATACAATGATCATCAAAGGAAATTTTAGCCGATACCAGTATTCACCTGATAAGCTAATATCGGCCGATATCATCGTCTGGCTGATTAATCGGTCTGGCTCTACTCCACTTTGTTTAAGGTTTAAATTGGTGAATGTTTTCTCCCCACAGGTTTCAAAAAGCTTCAAAATCCGGTGTAAAAACGACGACCTAACCATTACATATTTAAATGATAAATATGAAGGTTTCATTAAATGTTTTTTTTTTTTTACTTAAAGTTTGGTTTCTTCTGATTTAGCACCACAAAACCTGCACAGCCCATAAGCAGCATCTCTGAAGATATCGACGCTCTTCTGGAGGACTTACTGGAGGACGACTTCCCTGATCGTCCTCAACAAAAGGTGATCATGTACAGGAATCAGGGCCTGACCGATACAGGACTTATAGGTCCAGTACAGATATCGATTTTAAGGAGAGAGAAAATGTAATCTGTCTTAAATCTCTGTTTGATCTGTAGAGATAGATAGATTCATGTGTTGTGTTGATCCCTCAAATGCAGTTATCAAACACTTGTGGAAAAGATTTATAAAAAAAGACAGTATCGTCACTAGCTCTTCATGTACATGCTTTTTTCCCCCCCAGACTGACCAGTTTCCTAAAGCGACACAAGAGGAGAAGAAAGCATCCTCACAGGGCGGAGGGAGGAAGTAAGTTAATTCATTCATTTTGAATTCAAAACATCATCAACAACACGGTCGGATTGGAAATCATAAATAAACCGAGATTCCGATCCAAATTGAGGGGAATGTTGCATCTCTGGGAAAGGAATCAGTTTATGGAGCAATCTTTGCAGAGAAACAGAAGAATCTGAATCAAACATATTTAACACAAATAAAGTCAGTACGTTGAGGAAATCTGATGAAATTTGATCTTTAAAGGAGGAGTCAGTAGCTTTTGTCGTTGCAGTTTGTAAACACAACATTCAAACTGGACCCGTCCTTCTGGGCTCATCGCCAACAGAACAGTAAAATCCAGTAAGAGGACAGAGTCTCTGCAGACACAGTCACCACCTCACATGTATGGAGGCCCAGAGGGGACGATGGAGCTGCATTTATATTCTGCAAATTCAAAACATTGGAGAGAGCTTTATTTCTCTCCTCTCTAGAGTCACCATGTGGTGGACACTGAAGCTTCAGTGTTTATCCAGCTCTGCATCGAGTGAGGCAGCAGTATAATATAAATGACTGCTTTAGTCAGTGGAGTCTGGTGGCTTTGGAAAGAGCGATGTGATGGCTGTTTGTGGCACCAAAACACATTTTCTTCTTTTCCCAGTGGCCGGGTTCAAACGTGACCTCGGCCCTTTGCTTCATGCCGTCCGTCCACTCATTTCCTAAGTTGTGCAATAAAAAATACTCGTATTTGTGATGTTCTGTTTTGATTCTTTTGAAGCTGAATCCTGTTTTTTCTGTGCGTTCTGAGACAATCTGCACTGTTTGTTTTGGATCCAGGTGCTGTCCTGTTTTTGTTGGCGGGAGTTCTGCACCAAATGGTGTCGGAACAGCGACGTCGAAGAGGTGTGAAAACAATCATTTATACTCTGAGCGTGTGAACTGTCTCGTCTGTTTTGGGTTCACAAAGACACAGAGCTGATCTTGAATATTATTTAGTGAACTCAGAGGTCAAAGTTCACCTATTAAATAAAGCATACAAGTATTTAGACAAACAGGAACATAATGACGTACATGTTCTGCCTTCTCCTTACCTGTTATTGATCATCACCGTGGCAACAGGTGTTGTGACCAGCTGAGATGTACCTCCTGTGACTTCCGGGTGCTGATGTTTGACGACTGTGAGTGGGACTCGTCCTGTGATTACCTTTTCCTCAGGTGAGTCTGCAGTGACACAAACCAGACCATCAGCGACAAGAATCCCTGTTTCATTACTGATTATAAATAAAGATGTTACAGATATGGATCCTGATGAGGTGATTTATGGAATACAAGTGCAGAGTTTCACAGATGTTTTCTAGGTAGGAGGAAGAGACTACGACACACATGCAGGACAAAGGAGGCGCTAACTTCTCCGGATTAATTATCAAATTCAGAGAGAAGAAAGAAGAGAAAATGTGTCACAATTTGTAAGCCGTTGGGCGCCATGTTTACTTCCCACTTGGGGGCGTGTCCAGACTTTTTGACTGGGGTGGCGGGCCCACATGGGGCTGACTTATGCAGGGGTGTCATGAAGTTTTATTAATTGTTTTACCCTTTCTATCAACACTCATGATTTGGGGGCGCGCTGGTGGCGCAATGGTTAGGGTGCACGTCCCATGTATTGAGACTCTCATCTCAAGCAGTAGGCTCACGTTCACCTCCACCCATGGCCCCCTTCCACATGTCATTCCCCGCTCTCTCTCCCTGGTTTCCAACTCTGTCCACTGTCCTCTCTCTGCATTAAAGGCACAAAAAGCCTAAAAATAAATCTTTAAGAAAAAAAAACACTCATGATTTGTACTAGTAAGTAACGCAATTTCATAGCGTATACGTTTTCAAAGCTTGATCCTTTAGGCAGGAAGAAAGAAGCTCAGGACACAAGAACTCAAATTATTGTTTGATGGAAGTAAGCTAATTCATTAAACAGTAGCTCAAGTATTTTTGACTGAATATTGACATTTTGATCCACTCCCTAACACACCACAGTGTCCTGTTTGACTCCATACTAGTGAGTCGGAGTGCTGAGGAGCTGAGTTTATTTATCCTCAGTGTCTCTGCGTTCTCTGTAGAAACAACATGCCGGACCGTCACAAGCTCCGAGCCAAGCTGAAGAGGAGGAGAGGTTTCCGGGCGTACGCCTGTCAGTGCAGCTGGATGTCCACGTCAGAGCCGACAGACCTCAGAGACCGAGATCAGCTCAGATGGGTCTGTGGAAAACACCAGGACTGAAGAACACAAACACTCACTGAGACGATACAGTCAGACACACTTCTACTTTCCATTCCTCTCTCTCTCTCTCTCTCTCTCTCTCTCTCTCCGTCTGTCTCTCTCTCTGTCTCTCTCTCTCTCTCTCTCCATCTGTCTCTCTCTCTGTCTCTCTCTCTCTCTCTCTCTGTCTCTCTCCTCTCTGTCTCTCAGCTCACACAAAAAAATCAGCAATGAAATCATGAGAATGGAAACTGGCAGAGTTTCGACGGAAATATTTATGAGAAGTCGAAGCAGCTTCATCAATAAAAAACCATAATGTTTTTAACATCTTTAATGGCTTTCACACTCGCGCAAAAATCCTTAAAAACCTCCTGAAGTGTTCACTCTGAGCGTCATGTGATCACTCAAACATCTGAATGTTTCTCTCTTCACTCTGAGCGTCATGTGATCACTCAAACATCTGAATGTTTCTCTCTTCACTCTGAGCGTCATGTGATCACTCAAACATCTGAATGTTTCTCTCTTCACTCTGAGTTTCTCCTCCAGCCTCCTCGTAGTTATTCTGCAGAAAGTCAGAGTGAGCTGATGTGAGAACACAGCAGGATATAATCAGGAGAATTCACCTGGAGCCAGTGGGAGGAGCCAGTGGGAGGGGCCAGTGGGAGGGGGTGGTGACCTTTATTCACTGTGATCACTGCACGACCATAGACTGTCTGCACGCCACCTCTACCATCTCCGTGCTCTAATGAACCTGCTGCTGCATGTTTCCTGTTCTCCAGGATGTTCTTCTCCTCTCTTTAGTTCACACTGAGATTCTCTACAACTACACGTAGCACTGATATGAAGACACATATTCTCATTATAGCTCTGCTGCTTCATCCGCTACTTCCACGTTGCTCTTTTTACCTCATGCCTCATGAGACCCGCCGCCCCCGCCCGAAAGAGCTTATGTGGAAACGTCTTTTTTCATCTCCTATAAACACTTGAGTTCGACGTTAAACTGGACCAGACGATAATTGAAACACTGATTTGTTGAAAGGTTAATCAAAGATTTTATTTTTAATCAGTGTGAATCAAACCTGAGTGCGATCTAAATATTAACATTCTGATTTTCATAGAATACATTGTTCCATCCTTTGTCTGATAATAAACCTGTTGAACTGTTTTCCAGCCATATTTATTGAAATGTGTTGCGTCCTTTGATGTCCCATTTTTTACACTTTGCTTTTTGCACTCAGACTTTACTCTAAACAGCAGCAGTCATTGTTTTATTCTTTGTTCTTTTTAGCACAACTTGTAGGTGCAATGGGACAAAATCTGTTAAACTCATCGAGGAATAATCATAGTATTGAATGATTGACTTTAAAGTAACACTCGATGGGTATTTCCTTATAAATATCTGTTAAAGGTCACATATCATCCTCCTCCTCTTCTTCAGTGTAAATAAGTCTCAGAGCTCCTCAAAACATGTGTGTGAAGTTTCTTGTTCTAAATCCACTCTGATCCTGTATTTGATCATGTCTATAAACCCCTCTATTTCAGCCCTGCTCAGGACAGGCTGTTTCTGTGTCTGTACCTTTAAATATGTAAATGAGCGATGTCTGACCACGCCCCCTCTCTGGAAGGGCTTGGGTGTACTCGGTGCTTTCTCGCTCCTATTGTTGTCCTATTGTTTACGGTGAGAAGGCAGACTCAGAGGGCAGAACAAACACCTAGCTGTGGGAGTGTCACCCACCTGGGGGAGGGGCTACTGCCCTTTGTGATGTCATGAAGGGGAAATCTCCAAACGGCCTGTTTGAGCACACATTTTCTGAAAAGTGGAGCAGGCAGAAGACGGAGAGGATGGACTTTTCTCATCATTGGGGGGTTTGTAGACAGACTAGAGACGCATGTTTGTGTTAGAGGAACATGGAGAAGAGGATTTAGCAGAATATAAATGAACTGTAAGCTTGTTTTATTGTTCGTCTTAATTAGATACTGATTCCGTGTCTCAACCTGTCAGTGCACAGTTAATAAAACCCAATAGTACAAGTTAAAGTCGACATTATTTCTCACCTTATTGTCATGTTCGCCTGTCAGATTGTACCTCAGAAAGTATTACAGATGTTTCGTTTTCTCAGGAACGATCTGTATTCTTGGTTCATCCTGCTGCTCAAGTCAGAAGAAAGTTGTTTGAATGTTGTGATTTGCAGTTTCCTGTCCTGTTGTTGTTGTTTCTCAGTAACTGTGTTTGCAGTGAAGATAGTCTGCTGTGATCTCGATGCGGCTTCTAGCAGCTCACTGATGGAGAGTCACAGCTTAATGAGAGGAAATCTGCAAACACAGACAGAGCCACGAGGAGCGACAGCAGGGTGAATATTTCAGTCTCTGATGAGTGACAGCGAGGTGTGAGTGAGTGCACTGTGGGTAATGCAAAACCTCATTTAGATTTTCATGTTTTTTTTTATTCCACCTGCTGGAACAGAAGTAACAAATTTGAACTAAATCGCCTTCAGGATAAATTCTCATTCAAGGAGGACAAAGAGATGGACATTTTTCTTCAGGATTCATCCTCAGAGAAACTTTTCCTGATTACATTTCTTGCTGTTTTTGAGGACAGGTCATTGGTCCTCGTGGTCTCAGCAGATGTTGTTGGGTTTTTGTGATGTTTCTTGTGTGTGGCCTTTTTGCCTTTATTAGATAGGACAGCTGAAGGGAAAGGGGAAATGTTTGGAGAGAGAGCGTCAGGGCTCGAATCCGCCTGTGGCTCCTTTCCTTCTTCAGACTCTATCCACTGTCCTCTCTTTCAAATAGATCTGATCAGCCTGCAGAGGAAACAATAAATGAAAAGTGTATTTATAAATATATCAACACATTTGGTTAAAGGGGAAGTATTATTATTATTATTATTATTATTATTATTATTAATAATAATAATAATGTGTGCGTTTCCTACTATGAGGGACAAAAAATGACAAGTATAAATAAATAAATGAATATTAAATTAAATTAAATTAAATTATGAATATGAATATGAATGAAAAATGAATACATTTATTGATATATTTATTGATGCATTTATTTATTTATTCATGAATTTATTTATTTATTTATACTTACACATTTTTTGTCCCTCAGTGGGAAAGAAAATCCGTGTAGAAAGCAGTAGGCTGATCTGTCCAGCAGGGGGCGCTTTAACTTTATCCTTCACTTTAAGGAACCCGCGGGAAACTCAAGAATGAGAACTACAGGAAGTGAAACATCAACACAAGTCTCCGTAACGTGAGAGGAAGATGGAAGAATCACAGTTTGAGGATGTTTTAGATGACTGGTTCATCGAGTCTCTGAAAACGTGAGGAATTTACGCTTTATGTTTTATAGACTGAAGGGTTATCCGTTTATTTACGTTGCTAGGCGACCCTGCTGAAGCGAACCCCGCTTTAAAACCCCTCACTTTCATCTCCCCTGCTTTTCCTGCAGGTGTAGATTATATTTATGTAACTTTAAAAGACATTTCCTTTATTAAATTGAGCTGTTTTTCAAATCGGCTGTCACTTTAAACACTTGGCTGTTTCAGTTTCCCCTAAAAGGACAACTTTCAGAGCTAAATCCTGCTTTTCCACAAGTCAACACCAGCCCAGAAGAGTGTAAATTATGTTTCAGAAACTTACACTAAGTGGGCTAATCTCATGCCGAATTGAAAAGTAGTTTCAAATGATTCAAAAAATGAAGTCACAATGTGAAGTTAACGTTTTTGTGCTCATGCTCGAGCTAGGAAATGTCAAATATGAGCATTTTATGAATGGAGTCTGGTGGTAAAACAAAAAGATCCTACAAGTTTGAAGATCAAAGTCAACCTTCAATACTTCCACATGTGTGTAGACTCATAAGGGGGATGTCTGGATGTGATTATAATAGTGAAACTGTAAAATGTATATCACAGCAACATTTCAGTCTGAACACCTGTGGCTGCTTTCAGGTGTCTTAAACTGTTTCTCACACCGTGTTCCTGAAGTTCAACAACACATGACAGTCTGCCTGCTTAGTCTACAGCTCTTATAACATCATGTTCTGTGAATTCACGCGTCTGTGATCCTGGTCCTGGACTTGAGGATTTTGCAGACACACCTGTTGATGTGTTCAGGTCAGTAACTCAGGTCTGCTTCGTTCAGGTACAAAGACCTGCATGTGTATCAGCTGGAACATCCCACACAGGTCATCGAGTGGACGTCGGGGAAAAGTGAGTAAATCTAACGTTATAAGCAACATCTGGACACATTATAGTCTTTATTATCACCACACATCAGGACTTACTCAGCTGACAGCTCGGCCTCTTACTGGTTTGAACCATAGACTGTAACAGATCCCATCACTTCACTGGCTCCCCGTCTGTTTTAGATTTGAAGATGTGACTGATCACTTTAGAATCTTGTCTGGGTCCTAACCCCATTTACATCACAGACATGCTGACCCCTTGGGATATGTTGGGGCCTCCGGGTTGTTCCTAACTTTAGGGGTGGAGGTAAGAGGGTGGAGTCAGAGTCAGAGGAATAACAGCGAATACGTAGGCTACTGAACATATACAATGGTTGTTTTTGATATCGCAGGAGGAGATGTTTCCACAGCGCTGCGTTCAGACACAGAGTGAACATTGAATATCTTTGTTTTCACTTCTTAACGTTTGTTTGTTTGTTTGTTTGTTTGTTTGTGTTTTCACAGCCGTGTGCGTCGCCGGATACGCTCCGTCTCACAACGAGATCCTGGAGCTGCGTTTACCTCTGAAACTGTTTGCTGATGAAAATAAGGTAAGGCGTCCAAACATGACGACTCACCTGCCGCTAAATGCCCCCCCCCTCCCCAAATGTCACTATAAGCTTCTGCTGCGTGTTGTGTTCAGGGCCTCTGTGCAGAACGGGATTTTAAAGTCTCTCACGGCGGTTTCACAGACGGTCCTGTTCGCTGCCTCAAACACGTCCCAGGAACGAGGTGAGTTTTCTCAACATTCATGTGGAACAAACTCGCTCTGTTTCTCTACCTCCTCTAATGGGATGGGGGGGGGGGGATAAGATGCAGGAAGGATTTCTCTTTTGTAGGATGTCATGTAGGTAGAAAAACTAAAATCTCACAGTAACACACATTACAGAAATACATCGATACAATCTCTTTTATTTGAATGATCGATGGAATCAAAAAGTTCAAAAGCTTTAAAAAAAAAAACTCTAACATGAGCAGAAGCTCAGTCTGTAGGGACTTGGGTTGGGAACCGGAGGGTCACCGGTCTAAGTCCCGGTGCGGACCGAGTCTGGAATTTGTCAGGCAACTGGAGTTTAAGCACTCGAGGTTAATCAGACACATTTCTGAACAAAAGGTGAAAAATGATGATCTTGATTCTACTTCCTCCGATGTGAAATGTTGCTGCTTTTGTGTTTTTTTTAATTTGATTGTAGAAAGCTGAAATGTTTTGTGATTTTTCCACAGTTGAGTCCTTGTTTTGTGGTTTTACTACATTTAGTTTGTGAGGGTGGAGGATCTAAATGTGTTCACAGCTGATTCCCCCTCATGAGCAGGAAGAAGGATGTTAATCACGCTTCATGTTTTCTGTTCTGTGGTTGTATTTGTCAGGTGTGTTGTCACCAACGACGGGCGGAGCTCAGACCTGCAGCTGTGGGACCTCGGAGGAGACGACAGCGGTACGTTTCATCAGCTTTAACATCAGTGTGAAGTAGACCTGCACGATGTGAGACGTATACACGATGTGTGATAACGATATGAAGGGACATAAAGAGATTGAATAGAAGAGGGAGACAGCTCTCTGTGTTTTGAATTTAGACCGACTGAGCAGCTCGGGTCTGAAACCATGAAAACTTACTGGATATAAATGGTGTTTATTAGAAGTGTTCATTTTAAGCTCTGTGATTGGCCGGCTGTTTAAAAAAGGAAGTCTATCATTAACGCACTGAAGCTACTTTAAGTCAGTTTTATTTTCTCACTTGTTGCTTCTCTGTTTTTATTCTAATCTGTTTTTTTTAAGTGATTTCTAAAATGTTCATTGGAATCAGATTTTTTCTCTTAATGTGATTGGTCACCTGCTTTTTGTTATCGTCCAATCACAGACGTGATCAGGAAAACAGGAAGTATCGAGGGGAGTCGGAGCGCGTCAGAGAGCGGCAGCAGGATCGCAGCTCGACTCTCGTCCCCGCCTCGAGTTCTCCACGGAGCTCGGAGCAGCGACGTCCGACTGAGCGAGCTGACCTCAGGACGGACTCTGTACACGCTCGGTAACGCTGACCTCATCTTTCATGTGCCACTCTCACTGATCCACACACACACACACACACACACACACACACACACACATGATGCACTTCATTTATGATGGTGGCTGATCTGTTTGACTGTCAGTAGAAGTTGTTCGGCATAAAAACACAGAATCTGTAGACTCAGCGGGCTTTGACTGAAAGAGGAGAGAATCTGGATCTATCAGCCGCCATCTCTAAATCTCTCTAAACCAGGGCTGTCCAAAGTGCGGCCCGAGGGCCATTTGCGGCCCTTGAGGGGATTTTTTGCGGCCCGTGACTTAAATGAAGAATCAGAAGATTTTTTTATTTTAATTTTTCATATTAACAAGCGCTGAACAATATTCCTAAAATAGAAAATGTTCAGTAACATGTATGTTGTTGTTTTTTTAAATCTACAGCTTTTACTTTTTTCCACATTTTTTTGTAAACTAGCAAGAAAAAAAGTTTGGACACCACTGCTCTAATCAGATAAGTGCATGCAAACCTTCTCGCTTTGCGAGTTACTAGTCTCAACACACTCGCCCACCGCCGGCACCAGAAAACCCAAAAAGAGGGCCACCTGTGCCTGAAGGTGGAACATAGTCAGACGATATGTTGTGAATTCAGAGACTGGCAGAGGAAAACCATTCCACTCTGTCAGAGGGGAAGTTAATGGATTTGTTTTGAGGTTAAAATAGTCGTATAATAAGTGCTTTCATAGTAAATCCTGAGATCCTTGAGCACAGAGAGAGAGCTGCAGCTGAAGACCTGACCCACCTCCTTCAGTCCGACTGACCTACCTGCTTGAAAAAAAAACTGATTAGACTTGAGTGACATTTTGATATTTCACTCTGTTCCCTCTTGCTTTGCTGAATCAAATTGCGGACAGTAACATCAGCTGAAGTCTCCTGACACTAAACTCCCGCTTCAGGCGTCACGATCTGACCTCCGGCGCTCTCCTCTCCTCTCCTTTAATATTTGTTTCAATTAAAATGATCAGTGTGTAAAATCCACCACCAGGGGGCTCTAAATCAAAACAACAACAATAGATGACGTCGAGGCTGTCGGGGAATCATGGGAGTGATTCTCTCTGCTACTCTACCCCCCCCCCCCCCGCGCCCCGGATGAAAACGAACTCTGAGTTGACCGTAGTCATGACGACCGGGTGAAACCGACCATGATGAGCTAATGTATCAGAGTATAATTGACATGATGTTTTTATCACAGCAGCACAAACAGCAACAGAACGGCAGCTTTCAGGAGCAGCTTTCCTTATGCAGCGACCTATGACGTAACGTCCGGTGTTTCCATGGCAACCTAAAATAACCACACACATAAACTCTGATGAACCAGTGACGCTGTACTAGAAGGATCATTCATATTTTGGTGACGTGTTTTTTGTTTTTGTCCCAACAGAGGCCGACTCAGCGGATCCTCTGACGTCTTTACAGTTTGTGAGTGACAGCGTCTTCCTCGCCGGCTGCTGTAACGGGAGCGTTTACGTCGCTGACACTCGGACGCCCGACGCTCCTCAGCTTTCACCTCCGCCGGCGTCCTCAGCGTCATCGGCCCTCTGGTGGACGGACGCCTCTGAGGGTCTGTCCACCTGCAGGCTCGTCAGACTCTCCTCGTCTGGTCAGGCTGTGATGTCAGATCTGAGGAAGCTGGGTGGAGCGGTGAGTCAGGCTCAGCTGGAGGTCCAATCACGTCGCTGCGACCTGGGTGATGTCACGGTGTCATGGGCTCCGGCACTGGACGACTGTGTCGCAGTGTCAGGTTAGTTCACAGACTCACAGTAAGCCAGAAAATATTCCCACTTCAGAATCTCTGCTGGGATTTTATTCTGTCATGTGACCCCGATATGTTTTTGTAGTAAAGGACGTAAAGATCTTAAAACAAACGTTCATTTAATTTAAAGCAGAGATACGTAACTCTGCCCCCTAGTGTTTAAAATGGGTACTGCAGTCTAAATTCATAGAGAGCTGTCTCCCCCTCCCTCCTCTCTAGAGTGGATGTTCACTCAGGTCACCATGTGGTGGACTCTGAAGCTTCAGTGTTTATCCAGCTCTGCATGGGTCTGTAAACCTTTCTGTGTTCTAACCTCTCTCCATTTTTCAAAAGCATCTCCAATATTGATCCTAGTTTGAGCACGTTTCTGCTCGTGGAGCTTATTAGAAACATGCAGAGGCTTTTTAGGTCGGGTACAATCACTTCTATCTGAACCACTTCTCTTGTTGGTTTGACCTGATAACTGCTCTCATATCTGACAAACCGAGGGGCGTCTGACAAACTGAGGGGCATCCAAAACGGCCGTGTGGGGGGGGTGTCTTAAAAGCGCCTACCTTCTCTGGTCCAAACAAATCCAGAGCATTCAGGAGCAGAATCTAAAGTTTGAAGGAGGACATACTGGCTGCTGCATTGTTGTCAGAGAAGCCAGCACTTCAACATGTTTCCTTAATGATCAGAGAGTAAGATACCTTTATCATCTCACTCTCTACACATCTCACTGATTGGACCTTTAAGGGTTTGTTTTTTAAGCTTTTAACAACAATTACAAGAGAATCACAGCTTTTATTCACATTCTTACGCCCTCTTTAATCAAAACCCACATTGAACAAGTTAATGAAGCTTTTATTAACACTAACAGTTAATTAACTTGAATTATTCAATAAGAAACACCTTCCAAGATGAAGCGTTGACAGAATCCTTTGTCACCTCCCTCCTGCAGGTTTCAGCGGAGTCGTTCAGATCTTCGACACGTCGCTCTGGAGGTCGGAGCTGCAGGAAGCTCGGCCGCTGTTCGTGCATCGCGGTCACACGGTTTCATCTCCGCCTGAAGACGGCGTCCCCGTCCTCGTCACCCACCACGTCTGGCATCCTGAGCTGCCGAGGACGCTGCTGTCTGCCGCCTCAGACGGCTCCGTGCACGTGTGGGACTGGGTCGACCAATCGGCAGCCAGCAGCTGATGTTCTGTTTCAAAGTGTATTAAAAGACAAATCAATAAAAAGTGAAAAAACACAAAGATTAAAGGAGATCTATTCTGCTGATCCATCTTTAAATACAGACATTTAATGTTAAGATGTCCGTACTAAACCTTTTTTTTCACAGTTTTTTTAAACACTACTCAGTTGTTGGTGTAATTCCCGGACGTGGTTTCCTGCTGCTCTGAACGAGACGTTACGAGAACTTGGCGAGACTTGGCCAGAACCCGAAGTATGAGAGCAAAGTTGTAGGACACGCCCACCATGAAGCTCACTCAAACGTCCCTACAACTGCAAACAGCTGGCCAATCAGAAGAGAGTGGGCATGTGGGGAGGTGGGGCCTTAAAGAGACAGTAGCTGACGTTAAGCGTTTCAGGCAGAGGCTGAAAATGAGGGATTTAACTGACGGACGCTGATGATCAGATACATGAGGAGGTCTTTGAGCTTCACATCACAAAACATTACTCAACAGGCGTCCCAGACCGACATCATTAATGGTGAGAGTGAGTTTAAGAGATCTACTTTAAATAAATCAACTTTCTTCGCTGTGCTCCTTCCTGCAGGACAGAAAAAGCGAACAGCCGAAAAATCTAAGAAATGGGAAAAAGGCAGAAGTTAATTTCACACTTTGCTGCCTCCTCTCTCTCGCGCGTGCCACTTGAGCGTATCATTAGACTTTCTCCTCCATAACCACAATCTCTAAATAATAAACTGCAGCCTGGGACTGAACTCCTCCGTTTTAGTCCTCACTCAGAGCTGAGTAAATATCCTGTAATCCCTCAGTGCTGTTAAATACACACAGACAAACCCTCCACTTCACTCTTCAGTGTTAAAATGCAAAGAGATTCTGGGGTTTTCATCTTTTAGGAGTTCACTGTCTGTGTCGTCTTCTGGTTTGTTTAAAAAAAAAATACCATTATGCTTCTTCAAACTATAAACTCTCCACCAATAATGCAACATTTTTTATTTAGAGCTTTCAGTCACGGGATCAGTGTGGAGCTCAAGAAACTAAACTTCTGTTTCAGGCGTCACTATATGACCTCTCCTCTTTAAACAAAAAGAAAAAGTCATTTATCCGCAGTGTAGTGGCAATCTAACAACAACAAGTGCCACTGGAGGGAATCCGAAGTCATTTCCAACTCATGGTGTGTAAAAAAGGAAAGTCCGCCGTTGATTACGTTTGAAGTCTTTTATTTCTCAATCTTAAAAAGCACCAACTGCATTAGACAAAACGAACTCGTAAACAAAAACAAACACTAAACGCAACAGGATCCAGACAAGATCTTCACACACACTCACGGTTACCTGTGTCTCCCCTTTCTCCTTACCTGTGGCTGTGCTAAATACCTACTATGCCCAGGTGTGCAAGTGACGTAGCAGCAGAAAACAACGTTCACATAACAACACACATCAAATTGGCTACAACACACAGCATGTGTTGTATTAGGAAGTTATGTACAAGAGGTAACCGTGCTCAGGCCCGGTTAGTCCTGGAGCAGTGTGACCACAGGCCAGCGGGGAAACGTGCCTAATGTGAAAACGCCCTGAAATTTAATGTAAGGTTGTTTTGTCACTTGTTTCTTGCGCCTGTGGTAACACTTTCAGGGTACAAGGGGACAGGTGTTGCAAATTAGCATTTTGTTATAAACACTAAGAGCATTGCATCTGGAACTTGTGCATGGCCGCCCCACTAATATAATGGTAGGGGAAACACTGCATGTTAAATAAACAAACAAATAAATAAATAAAACAAAACCTTTAACTAACTCCATATATTAAACTTTTGAAAAGAAAGAACCCTCCATGCTGCTTCATTCTGTAGCGAGGTTTTTAAATTGAGCGACAGAGCGGCGCGCTGTGAGTCTGAACTCTCTCACGGCCTTAATGACTGCAGAGACGTTAAAACTGAATAATCTCACAATGATCCTGCAGACTCTTTAAAAACACAGCAGAGAGAGAGAGAGAGGTGACGTCTACGTTCAGCAGGCGGCTCACTGAGGAGGCAGCGAGTGACTGACAGGTTTTATTTTAGCTCTAATTAAATTCATTACAGAAACATTTCACTTGACTCTGTTTAAAAAAAAGATCCCAGCAGTCTGTAGACGGATGAGAGGCGTTCAGTTTGACTTCACTCCTGATAGAAATAAACCCTCGATGTTCACGCTGTGCGAGGATCCATCAGAGCTCATTTCTTATTTCTGAGTCAGGCTGCACTTTGTGAGATTTAAAGCTCCCGCATACAAACAAAATCATGTTTATTGACAACACAGGAGCTGAGTCTTTAATTAATATTAGCTGGTTATGATGGAAGGTAAGACTCTGTTTTGTTCCAGATAAACTTCCACTTCCACTGTCCCTGTTCCTCTTATGAAGGCATAAAAAGTCCAAAAATAAATCCAAAAGAAAACCTACTCAGGTGCAAAGACATCAGACCTCTCAGGAGTATAAATGAGTTTAGAAATGACCAGCAGTGATGTAAAGGCAATTTAGTGCAAACTTGTTAAAACTGATAAAGACCTAAATGATTGTCATGATAATCTGAGCCTGCGCTCGGTGTTTGGCCCCGATCATCATCACCTGATTACGGTTATTATCCTCAATTTTCAGGTGACTAACGGTCGCGTTGATTACCTGTCGCTCACAGTGTTTGAACAATAGGGCAACGCTCAGTACTGACGCCAGAGAAGAAGTAAACCATTTTTCATTTATAGCAAATAGAAGTTATTTCAGATATAATCGCCTCCTGAAACTGAACAGGAACAGGAAGTCTTTCTGACCAAACCAGACATTGATTTCTATCGTTAGACTGATTAATACTGGATTGCTTCACAGAACTTCTACAGCCTTACACTCCCAACAGATCTCTTAGGTCCTGTGGTCAGGATTTATTGGTTCCCCAGCTGCAACCTCCGCTGTTGAAAATTGAAGCAGATGTGGAAGTGCAAAAACTGGAGATCTTTGAGTGTCCGCTAACCCGCCTCAGCTCCAGCTCTCAGCCTGTCGTTAGGTTGACTGAAAGTTAGACTGAGACAGCATTTCCAGCATGGAGACCGCCATCGATGGGACTCCAGCGCCCCCTGCAGGAACAGACGGGTGACTCAGGCTTCAAACATTCATATTTACAGTCTGTGATTGCAAAATGTATATTATTGTCAAATTGATTGAAATTGCTAAATTTCAGCGTCAAATTGATTTATAATTGTTTTGCGTGGTATCGTTACATCCCTAGCAGTTTCATAAAACGTATATTAATACAAATTAAAAGTACCCGTTAAAATACCTTACATTTATTCTTCAGTAGATGTACTTAGCATGAAGTTAGTAACATGTGTTTATGAAAAGCTATTTAATCAAACATGATGAGATTCTGACCTTGAAAAGGTGTTTGTACTTCATTTTGGCCCCAAACGGAAACATAAACGATCCAGACTCCAATCATAGCTGTTAGCCTAGCTGTTAGCCTAGCTGTTAACCTAGCTGTTAGCCTAGCTGTTAGCCTAGCTGTTAGCCTAGCTGTTAACCTAGCTGTTAGCCTAGCTGTTCACCTAGCTGTTAGCTGTTAGCCTAGCTGTTACCTAGCTGTTAGCTTAGCTGTTAGCCTAGCTGTTAGCCTAGCTGATAAATATCAAAACATGAAATAAATCTAATGTTTGTTTCCCGCCAACGGACCAGCGGATATTTTCTTCTTCGGTGTTAATTGGCAGTTGGTTTAACAGTCGATTGGCTCAATTTCGCCCCCTCCTGGACTGACTGTGAACTGACTCTCCTCCAACAACGACGTCAACGTGCAGCAGTGCCATCTTGTGGCAGTGGAAGGAAATACAACGATGCCTTAAAGTGTGCCTCGTAAATTTAAATACTGGTCAACGTAAATGTCCCGTTAATATACTTTACTGGAGTCTTTATACCGAAATATAATATATATATATATATATATATATATATATATATATATATATATATATATATATATATATATATATATATATAAAAGCTGTTTTTCAACAGTTAAATAACTTCTTGACATTGAGCGACAGTTTCGATGTCTTCCAGTCAGGTTTTAGACAAAATCACAGCACTGAGACAGCTCTGGTTAAAGAGTTTAATGACATCCGTTTAAACACAGACAGTGGCAGAACCTCAGTCTTAGTTTTACTTGATCTCAGTTCTGCGTTTGACACAGTTGACCACAATATATCACTCGACCAACTGGAAAACTTGGTGGGAGTTTCAGGCACAGTACTAAACTGGTTTGAATCCTACTTAAAGGACAGGGACTTCTTCGTGTCTATAGGTAACTTCAAATCTGAGCAAACAAAAATTACTTGTGGAGTTCCCCAAGGTTCCATCCTGGGGCCTCTTCTGTTTAACCTCTACATGCTCCCACTAGCTCAGATTATAAAAAACAATAAAATAAGTTATCATAACTACGCAGACGACACACAAATATATATAACAATGTCGCCAGGCAACCATGGTCCCATAAAAGCACTGGGTAAATGCATAGAGCAAATAAATGAGTGGATGTGCAAAAATGTTCTCCAGCTAAACAAAGACAAAACTGAGGTTGTTGTTTTTGGAGCAAAGGAGGAGCGACTAAGAGTCAGCAATCAGCTTCAGTCAGTAAGATTTAAAACCACAGACCAGGCAAGAAATCTGGGCGTAGTGATGGACTCAGACCTCAATTTTAAAAGCCACATTAAGACAAAGTCAGCCTACTATCACCTGAAGAACATATCAAGAATTAGAGGACTTATGTCCCAGCAAGACCTGGAAAACTCCATGCTTTTATCTTCAGTCGTCTTGATTACTGCAACAGTGTCTTTACAGGTCTGCCTAAAAAAATCAGTCAGACAACTGCAGCTGATCCAGAACGCTACTGCTGGAGTCCTCACCAAAACCAAGAAAATGGATCACATCAGTCCAGTTCTGAGGTCTTTACAGTGGCTCCCAGTCTGTCAGAGAATAGACTTTAAAATCCTGCTGCTGGTTTATGAAGCGCTTAAAGGTTTATGGCCAAAATACATT